TTTTTCTCCGGTACCGGGAACCGAACTCACGACCTTGCGCTTGCCAGGCAGGCGCTTTTGCCGCTGAGCTAAATCCCCAGCCCCCCAAGCAAGCTTCTTGACGGGATAGTTTACACATGGTATGAAGCCAAGCGAGTGATTGACAGGACAACTGTTCTCATGCCTTATTTGCAGGAGATGGAGATAACCCGGGAATCCTGGCTATAAAAGACCCCTTTCCCTTATCCTCAGGGCCGCTGTGAGCCTTTCCACTGGCCGTTCTCACTCTGCAGAGCAAAACTTCTTTTCCACCTTCAATAAACGCACAGCCTTGCTGCCTCTTCTATGGGTCTTACCTAGTTCTGGGTTGAGGACCCTGAGAACCTGGAAAAAAGCCCCATGGGACCTCCATCCGGTGACACCACTGGGAATGTGTATTTGTACAGAGGGTCTCTGCAGATGCCGTGAAGGATCTTGAGATAGGTTTGGTGACCTAAGGTTTCCAGACATAACACAGTGACAGAGAGACTGATGAAATGCAGAGGTTTTTATCACTTACAGATCGGAACTAGAGAAGGCTGCCAGGCGGCACTTCTCAGGGTGTCTGGGAACGAAGGCCAGCAGGTGATGCCGTAGCGGACAACTCTGTGTGCCAGCGACATGGGGGTATCTTGGATCCTGGGCATCGGTAATTTGAATAATTTTGAGGGTTCTGGGTAAGGGCCTGGTTCTAGTCGTCCTGTGCCTCGCCCTAGTGCTGTCAAGGCAGTTCGTTACCAGGTTGGGGTTTCTGATGTCCTAAGCGAAGAACTGAGCAGGACACCCAAGAATAACAGCAAGATTAGAGACGAATTTGAAAGAGAAAAGACAAGATTCACTGGAGGGGGCAGGAGCTGGCCTGGGAGGAGTCAAGGTTTGGTCTCCTGCCAGTGAGCGGCTTGACTCAACTCCTCGGTAGGGTGGTGACATTTTTGACCTTTTTTGGCCCCTGGAGGAACTGTCATGGTGCCCACAGCCCACAGGGGTCACATCCGCGTAGTCGGTGACAGGGTAGCTAGGGTCGGGATGACCACGGTTGCAGGAGACCCCTGGGTGTGTGTGTTTATAACTTCATGTGTAAGCTAGGTTGCGTTTTCCTGTTGTGTTTGGATCGAGTATGCTGGCCCTGGGCTAATGTTTAACTCAGAAAGTGGATTCGGTCCAGAAACCCTCCTTTCTTTCTCAGGTTTTTCCTTAGCTGCCTCCTGCCTCCGCCGAGCAGTGGTCCAGAAGGCCTGGCTGAGGAGGGGTGGGTGGGAGGGGGACCTGAGCTACTTCTCCGGAGGAGGAACTGAACGACCCCTCCCCAGGCTCAAAACTGGGTCAAAACAGTAAACAAAGACATCCTGTCTGCGGCCGGGCCAAAATCCCATCACAGAGACACTGAGTGCCGGGAGAGCGCCAGCCCCCTTAGGGGGGTCCCGGTGTTCAGGACATCTGATCCACAGACAACAAGTAGCTCTCCTTTAGGGAGAGATTTGGGCCTTGTTAATATCTATTATAAAGTTAAATAATATTTCCATAAAAACTTTCAGCATCTTTGGTTAGATTTATGCATATGTCCTTTCTTTTTTATTATTGTTAATTATAAAACGTTCTTAATGATTTTTTTTCATTTTCTAATCTTTGTTGTGGCTACAAAATGCACACAGGTTTAGAATTAGCATCTTCTGACCAGGAAACTTACACTGAAGGTCTCTTGACAAACTCTCTTGATTTCTCTCTAAAGGGCAGGAGTCAAGTTATGGCTCAGGCTGGTGGAGCTCTGAGTTTCCCTTGGGCTGGTCTGGAAGTCAGGGGCTTCTGAAGCATCTGGCTGGACCTGTTTAAAGTCCCCCAACCAGGGCAGTCAGGTTGAGCAAAAATTAAAAAAAATACAGAATGCCTAGTTAAATTTGCATTTCGGATAAGTAACAAATCCATTTTTAGTATATGATACCAATTTTAGTGTAAGGTACTTGTATTAAACACTCCTGAGCCAGGCATGGTGGTGCATATCAGTAAACCCAGCCCTCTGGGAGGCTGAGGCAGGAGGATGACAACTTCAAGCCTGAGCAATTTAGCAGGCAGTTAGTCAGGAACCAGAGTGTGGTGTCCAGAGCGGTCGGGGCTTCTGAGCCTTGTGCCTGCGGGTGTTGGCAGGAGGTGCGGCAGCTGGATACACGAGCCTCGAGGGTGCAGGGCAGGCAAGGCTTAGAGAGGGACGTGGCCAGCGGGCAGGCAGAGAACAGTCTGCGGGAACGAGGGTCCATGGCCACAATGCCCCCTTCTGGCTACTGCAGGCTGCACCGCGCACTTTCCTCTCGTAATGGACCTCTAGCGCCCTCTACTGATAAATCTTAACATCTTACTCTCTGCAAAGGACAGACGCCTGGAGAATTTTGTACCAGACCAAACACAGCGGCACACCAAAGCGGCTGTGGCAATTACAAAGTCCCTAGGTAATAAAAAACATTTCCAGCTCCGTTATAATCTTATGGGACCACAGTGTCAGTCTGTGTGGCCCATGGTTGACCAAACTGTATTTCTACGATGCATGAGTTTATTTTACTGAGGTGTGTATTTGGAGCCAGGAAGAAGTGTGTTGGTAAAAGGACACAAAGTTCATTCCAGATGCATGGTACACCCGCACTAACAGGGGCTGGGGATCAGAAGGGGCTCGCTCAGAGAACTCTGGAAAACCATTTTGCCTAGAAATTCTTACAGTTGGTAAAGTTATTTCCCATAGGGGTACAGGTTAGGGATCTCAGACTGTCACAGGCGTACCGGGTTGAACATATAAGTAGTTGAATGCCAGGTGGTGGGCCGGGCTGTCTACACTGCCAGAGAAGAAAGTTATAGATAAGCAAGCGAAAAAGCCTGGAATGAATCCTGAAACTGGATTAGAGCGAACAACGTCAGTATGAAGCTCAGAACACCACGGATGAAGAGGCGTGGGCAGCGTAGACTTCTGCGTGGACATGACTCAGTGTATACACATACATCACCCGTCTGTATGCTGAGGGGGGCCCAGCGGCAACAGCACTGCTGCAGTAACCAGCACTAGATGCCGTGCTCTGATAAAAGGATGAAAGACTCCTGGGGGACATGGCTGATTTGCAACCGGGGCAGGGAAAGAAGAGCTTGGGGCCTTTGGCATACCAGAAAGAGAAGAAGTTGCTCAAGAAGCAAAAAAGTGGAATGTGTCCAAAAGCCCAGGAGCCAACCAGAAGGAGCTCTTGAATGCCAAAGCTGGAATAGTCGGAACAATAAAATAAATTACGTAGCACTGGGTTATAACCCAGTGTATAAAATAAATACACACCAGTCAATATGGATATAAGTCAATAAATAAGTGAGTACACAAAGAAAGGCAAATTTTTGCAGAAAATCCCAAATAACATAGCAGATGTTTCTCCTTCTAGGAATTGAGGTTTAGCTCAACTCTTACCACCCGCTCCTGGGTGGGATAGACTCCCTTCCAAAGACAAGAGAGCTGAAACACAAGCACAGTAGCTTTACAGGGGAGGAAGTGGGAATGCAGCACCTCAACCCGGGTGTCTTAATTGCTTTGCTTGTTGCTGGAACTAATACCTGACACCCACAATTTAAGGAAGGAGGGGTTTATTTTGGGCCTGGCATGGGAAAGCTGCTTACAGCATGGCGGACAGGAAGTGCAGAGAGTCAGGGAGGGAGATAAACACTTCCGGGTCACGTCCAGAGTGACCCCAGGCCCCACTTCCTAACAGCAAGTCAGCTCTAAGCCTCCACGATCCAATCACATTCCAGAAGTCCCGCCTACGATCCCATGAGGCTCTGGGGGAGAGCTAGATGTGAGCTATAACACCAG